ACACAGGCTGGTGTGCTTCTTCTATGTGGACTTTGTTGCCTCTCAGCTAGATGGCTGCTTGTTTATCTTCAAGCCGTTAAGACCCCAGACACTATATCTTTTGATAGCCAGGCACTATCAGCTTTCTTCACCACATTTGCTTATGTACCCACTTTGTCTTCTGCAATCTTGTTGGGAAGGTGAACATCACAGAACAACAGATTGTTAGAACAAAGTGTTCTTGTGTTGAGGGAGTGCTTGAGTTGAGGCCCAATGTCTATCTGCAACCTTAATTCTTAACATATAGATATGAGTACATAGTTCTATTCCCCTCTCATTATATGTTTATATATAAGTATATATAAATATATATTTACATATGTACATGCCTGTATTTAGACCTCTATAAATGTCCTTTGCCTCCTGGTTCTTTCCTCTATTTCCTTTTACTTTCCTCTTGTCCCACCATCATGTTCAGCCTTCATTTGGGTTTTATAATTCCTCGCTGCTACATTGCCCTTGATTAAGCCCCACTAGGCATCCTACACCCTTCCTTCCATTGATTTTAGTTCACTTGTTGTTCCCTTGTCGCTGGGTTGGTTCCCCCTTCCCCCCATTTTCTTTTCTCCCACCTCCCCTTTGCCCATATGCCCTTAAAACCATTGGTCCCATTGGCAATCCTTTCCTATGATTAAATTAGACTATCACTATTCATTCATACCTTCAGCATGTATGTATGTTTCTTAAGCATAGAAAAATAACAGGAAAAACACTTGCCAATTTTGATAGTGATTAGCAGAAATATTCACTGAATGAACAATTTGTCCAGTCCACTGTTGATAGATATTTTTCAATATTAAATACTTCAGTATACATCCTTGTAATTTATTCCTGCTTTAGAAAGAGGCAAAAATTATCACATTTACAAATTATATCATTGTTTACCTGGAAAAATCTAGCAAAAATATGAATAACAAAAGTATTCAGAACAAAATGCACATAACTACTGATTTTATTATATACCAATAATAATCAGGTAGAAAATAGAATGGAAGGTCTCACAAAGGTATATATATATATACACACACACACACTCATAGAGAGAGAGAGACAGAGAGAATGGGAGAAATACATAGAAACACATACACGTGGATTCATTGTTTAAATGTGTATGTTTGTACACACGTGCAATGGGACATCCAAAAGTATTGCTATTAAAAAAATAAATAAATAAAAATTTAAAAAAATGTTAAAACCCCAAAAGTATTGCTATTGTGGTTTATATGCATGAATATATGCATGATATATATGAATATATGCATGATATATGCATTGATATATGCATGAATAAATAAAACATCTTTCTACTATCCAGGATGACTTAGATAAGTTCTCTCAGAAAAATCACTCACTCGCACTACCCATGGGTTGATTTTGACTCACGGAGGCACTATAGGCCAGGGTCCAACTGCTCCTGTGTGTGTCTATGATTGTACAGTAACTGTGTATTGGAGTAGAAAGCTTCATCTTTCTCCCTCAGAGTAGCTGGTGGTTTGCAACTGCTGACCTTGTGGTTAACAGACCAACGCATAACCACTATGCCACCAAGGACCCCTTTTCTCAGTAAGACAACTTGTCTTAGTTTAGATAGGATGCCTTCCCCAAAAAATGTCCAGTCAAAATTGTGGCTTCTAACAAGATCTGCAGGGCCAATTAAATTAAAGATAGAGAGGTCAGCTCAGACTGTTTTGGGGGGATCTCAAAGGGGTAATCTTGATAGATTTCTTGAAAGACCAGGATGCTCGTGGGGCTTATTAGGAAGTTCTAAGAAAATTGAGAATGGCAGTGGTAGAAAAAAGCAAGGAAAGTTACACTGAGGCATTTTTTAAATTCAGTCACAATAATGCACCTGTTCATCCTTGAAAGGTAGCAAAGACTTCCTTATGGGAATTTCATTGGAAAACCTTCCCCCATATACTCTACAGCCCTGATCTTGCCTTTAGACTTATTTTTGTTTCGCAAGCCCAGACAACATTGAAAAGGAATACCGTTTAGTCCAGGGACATCAACAGCCTTGTTATCAGACAGAGAGCATTGTAAAGTTGATTGTGCAGATGTTAAAATATAGTATATTATCATTTCACCTCCCTTTTGATATTTCAAAATTGTTTTTATTTTTTATATAGAAAAGGGAAGGGGAAATACATGTGGATAAAGCCTCTGGTGAATCCCCTCTGACCGGGTTGTGAATAACCTTGCTATTCATGCAGAATGCACTAGAAAGTAGATTATTACAGATACAGTTAGGTTAAAATTTAACATCTTATTTGATCTTCCCTTTGACAGATTTAAAATTTGTTCTAGTATTTAATATTTTCTGCTTTTAAAATTGATATTTTTCTTTGTTAGTTTGGCTTGTTTTTTTGTTTTATTAATAATGTTTTTCTGTATATGAAATCCAGGATAGGTAAATCTATAGAGACAGTAAGTGAATTAGTGATTGAGGGTATGGCAGGGAAGGTTGGGGGAAAATGAGAGCTAATAAAAGATGAGTACAAGAATAAAAAATGTTCTAAAATTGATTGTGGTGATTGTACAACTCTTCTTAATACGATCGAACTACTAAATTGTATGATTTGTGAATAAAACTGTTTGTTGTTCTTGTTTTTAAGGAAACAATTTGAGTCTTTCTAAGATGCCTAAACTGCCAATTTCACATGGTTTAAGTTGAAGAGTGCAACATTTTTCTGGGAAGGGCTAGAGAGATGGACACACCACCTTGAGAAGTGTAGACACCTTGGTGAAGATCTGTAGAGAATTAGCTTCACGTTTTGATATTTTTTGTTTCATAATAGTTCCTAAGATTTTACAGAAATACTTTTGACTCACCCTCGTATTAGGAAATCTAACAAAGGATAAAGAAGGCATTCCCAATTGTTAAGAATATTATTCAATTAGTGGGTTAGATAAGTTGGCAGCATATGTAGAAAAAAAATGAGTTGATTCCATGTAAGTCAATTATTTTCACATAAAAAAGCTCTGCCCTCCCCAAATAGAAAGTTGAGTAACCCAATGAGAAGGAAAGAAAAACCTGCACACACTTGTGTTTTTGATCAGTGCCACTGGGTTGGATTTGTCTGACAGCCAACGCATGTACAACAGAACAAGACACCGTATCACAATCACTGATACACGCAAGAGCCCACTGTTGCAGCCACTGTCAATTCATCTCCCTGAGAGCCTTCCTCGTTTGTTCAGACCCTCTCCTTTACCCGGGACAATAGCCTTCTCCACGGACTGGTCCCTCTGATGACATGGCCACAACGGACGAGCCAAAGTCTCTTTATCATGCTTCTATAGAACATTCTGTCACACAACTGTATTCTGGCATTCCACGGGACAGTCGGTATTCTCTGGCACCACCATAATTCAAATGCATCGATTCTACTTCAGTCTTCCTCATCTCTTGGTCAGCATGGGAGGCTGCATTTGCATGCATGGGAGGCAAGTAAAAATATCTTGGGTTGGGTCAGACACACCTTAGTGCTCAAAGTGACATTTTTCTTTTTATAATACTTCAAATGAAAGAGGTCTTTTACAGTAGACTTTCCCAATGCAATCAATGCTTCCTTTGATTTGACTATTGTTTCCAAAGGTATTGATTATGGATCCTATTCAAATTAAATCCTTGACAACTTGAATCATTTCTACTCATTTTGGTGCTGTTTATTGGCTCAGCTGTGAGGATTTCCATTTGCTTTATCGCTAGGGATAATCCATACTGAAGTTTGTGTATAGCTTTTGACCTTCATCAGCAACTACTTTAAGTCCCCTTTGCTTTCATTTCATATAACAATAGTTAATAAGCCTTGCTCAACCCAAAAAGTTTAACTCACTGGTAATCAAGAAATAAAAATTAAGACAATATGATGATATTTTTCAGCTATAAAATTGCCAGAAATTCATAATTTCTATGGATGGTTTGGGAGGGGAAGTAGACCTATTCTTACATGGCTAGTGGAAGCATACGTTTTAAAGGCTACTTGGATGTATTTTTTTTGGATGTATTTTATATGTACATTATATATATAATTTTTAAAGTATGTATCCTTAGACTAACAATTCTATTTTTAAAGAATTAAAATTTACTCTAAGGAAAAACAAAAGTAGTTATGTGTGAATAAAGATATTTGTAAAGTTCTTTAGATCATCTAAATTAGAAAAAAATCTTAATAGTTCCAAATAAATGAATAACTGTTTAAATCAATTATATCCAATTTTACTATATAATCACTAAAAATAGTAATGCATCTTTGAATGAATTAATATATAGTTGGTCATTATAGATGATTTATAGAAATTTTACCAAGCAGCATGCATAATGTGATTCCATTTATGTAGGTAAGACTTAAATATATTAATACATGTACTAAAAAAGTAGAAGGAAAAAGAAAGAGTGGTTTTCTTACACAGTGGTTCTCAACCTTCTTAATGCCACAACCCTTTAATAAAGAAGCTCATGTTGTGGTGACC